ATAGTAATAGTAATAATAATAATAATAATAATAGTAATAGTAATAATAATAATAACAATAATAATAATTATAGTAATAATAATAATGATAATAGTAATAATAATAATACTGATAATAATAATAATAAAAATAATAATAAAACGGATAATAATAATAATGATAATAGTAATAATAATAATAATAATAATAATAATAATAATAGTAATAATAATAATAATAATAACAATAACAATAATTATAGTAATCAAAGATAATAGCACAATAATAACAACAACAGTTGCAATAGTGATGACGCTAACAATGTTATTAATACTAATGCTAAATGATAATACTGATCATGATGATAATGGCAATAACAATGATAATGATACTAACAATAACTATAATAATGATAATAATAACAATTCTAATAAAAATCATAATTTCAACTAGCGGGACCCGTGGAAACTCCACAGTACAGAAAGAAAGAAAGAAAGAAAGAAAAAATACTCCTTTCTCCCTCTTTTCCCCTCCTCCTTCTACTTTTCGCCTCCCCTCTCCCTTTCCTTTTTCTTTTCCCTTTCCATCTACCTTTCCCTCTCACTCTTTGTCAACGCCTCTCCTTCCCAAATCTTCCCTAGATTTACTAATCCTCTCCTCCTCTCCCTGCATCTTCCCCTTCCCTCTTCTCTCCTCTTCTTCCTTAACCTCCCTTATCTATTTCGCTCCCTTATTCCCATCCCTTCTTTTCACACACCCTATTTTTCTCTCTCTCTCTCTCTCACCTCCCTACCTTTTCCCTTTCCCCTTAACCATCCCTATTTCTGTGTAAGTCGCCTCCGTTACCCATGTGTTTTCCTTTCCCTGTCTCCCTTTTCTCTTTTTGTCCCTCTCCCTTCTTACTCTCCCCTCCCCTCCCCTCCCTTTCTTTTTTTTCTCTTTGCCTCCTATCTTCCTCCTTAACCCCCTCCTTCGGATTATTATGGAAAATATAATAAATGTGCATAAACTGATGGTCTAACTACTTCAATGTAGTGTGCTTGCCTCGGTTACAAATAATGATAATAGTAATAGTACTCATCATCATCATAATTACCATGATTTTGATGATGATAATAATAATGATGATGATGATAACAATAATGATAATGACATTAATAACAATATTGATAACAACGGAGTTAAAATAGGATTCTCATAGATTTGTAATATATGTATGTTTGTGTGTGTGTGTGTAATTTTTTTTTAAGTATTTAAGATCTCAATAGTCACGCGCAATATGATTCCAAGCACTGAGTGTAAATATAACGAAGAAACAAACGATAAACAAAATACAAAGGATATCCAGTTAAGTAATCACAAGAGAAATAATAATGTCAGTAATAATAATAATAACAATGGTAATAATAATGATAGTAATAATAATAAGAAGAAGAAGGAGAAGGAAAAGAAGAACTGTAATATCATTATTATCACTAAATGTAATGATTATGATGATGATAAAAATATGATGAGATTGATAACAATAACAATAATGGTATTAATAGTAATGGTAATAAGCATAATAACAATGATAATGTTAATGATAATAATAATAATAACAATAATGATAAATGTTAATAATTATAACAATAATAATAGTAATAATGAAGATAGCAGTGATGATGAGGATAGTAATAATAATGATGATAATATCAATAATAATAATAATGATAATAATAATAATAATAATAATAATAATAATGATAATAACAATATTGATAATAATAATAACAACAATGATAAGTGTTAATAATTATAACAATAATAATAGTAATAATGAAGATAGCAGTGATGATGAGGATAGTAATAATAATGATGATAATATCAATAATAATAATAATAATAATAATAATGATAATAATAATAATAATGACAATAATGATAATAATAATAATAACAATAGCAATTATAATGAAAATAATGATAGTAGTGATGATGATAATGATATTGATTATAATAATGAACACAATGATAATAATTATAATGCTAATAATACTGATTATGTTGGTTACGATAATAGCAGTTATAATAGCATTATTAATAATGATAATAATGATAATGATAATAATAACGATAACAATAATAATAATAATAATAATAATAATACAAATAATGATGATAATAATGAGGATAACAATGATAATAATAATGATAAAAATAATGATAATGACGATAATAATAAAAGTGATATTAATAATAATTTTAATAATAATGATAATAAAGATATGAATAAGAATGATACCAATAATAACAAAGATGATCATATCAAAAACAATAATGATGATAATAACAACAATGACAACAGCAACACTAATAATAAAATTATAATAAAAGTGATAATAATAATAATAATAGCAACAAGGACAATAACAATTAAAATGATAATGTTAAGAGAATAATAATAAAAAACATCAAATAGCAACGTGCACACACAGAATAAGACACAGATTCAACTTTCTCGTGGAAAGAATGTGCCTAC